CCCCCCCCCCCCCCCCGGAAAAAAGGACATAGCTTCCCCCTCCCAAACACCAAACCCAAGAAATACCCAAGAAATACCAGCACCCCCCCCCCCTCCCCGGAAGAAAAGGACATAGCATGGCAAGGCCAGCATCTCAACAGACTCTATATGAAACCTCCGTAAACCATGAATCCTGAACAAACAGAACGCCTTCAGTAAGTAGCAGCACTCGGTCATGCTGCCATAGCTTCCCCCTCCCAAAAACTAAACCCGTGAACAAATACCAGAGCTCCCGCCCCTCCGGAAAAAAATGACATAGTTTCCACTTCCCAAACACAAAACCCGTGAAGAAGTACTCCCCCCACACACAAAAAAAAACTGACATAGCTTCCCCCTCAGGCCTTCTTCATCCCGGGTAGCTCGCTGCCTCAGCCGGCTTGGGACAGATACAACCGCAGGAAGAAGGGTGGCGAGGAACCGGCGTCCACCATCGGTGGTCTGCGCGACCACATCAGATACATCGTGGACCAGCAAAGCCAAAGGCAGCCATCTGAGGCCCGCAAAACGCATCCTTCACTCGCAGCAACCCTGTGCAATGGCAGGCTCCTAGCGTCCTAGCTGACGAGCAATGACTGGGCCTCCGCCAGACAGCCGAGTGCTGCGGCTGCCTCTCGCTGGCAGAAAAAAAACAGCAAGCAAACCAAAAACCCATTGAAGCGCCTGCGGCGGGATGCAGGGCCCCAGAGGCCAGGAGCCCAGAACCCCCCTCACTGCCGAGCTTGAGCAGGCAAGAAAGCAAGAGAAACAAGAACCCAGAGCTTGTCAAGTCTTGAAAAACTGATACGCGCTACGCGCTGCTTGCATGCATGTATGTATGCAAGCAGTCTATTGGTGTATGGTTGCGCGACACATGCTAAAGCCAGAGCTTTTTACCTCGCAACCCAGGTCTGCCAATTTCTTAAATGTAACTTCCTGCGCTTCTCCTATAAATCTAACTCCCGCGCAGCTCCTACGACTCCTGCTTGCTCCATTCGCCCGACAATCTGCGACCGTGATAGCTCTCAAGTCTGATTCCGCCTGGCTTTTGCCTCGCCGTGCAAGAAAAGACTTTGGCTGCGCGGACTCCAGGCCCTTCAGGCACACCCGCCTTGGGCCTGAAGACTATGAAGTCCTTGCCAGTCATAGGCGGCCTACAACCAGCCGCAAGCTGAATCAGTCTGCTCCACATCACAGAACCATGTTCTCCGGCCTCTTCGTCTCCGACTGTGACGACTGCGACGACTGCGTCGTGTCCAGTTGTGGAGGCCTTTGTGCCGGCATCCCTTTGGGACGTGTTGCTTCTGCCTTGCAGGTCAGCGGTGGCCAAACCCCCAGCTGCGTTGGACAATGAGTGACAGGGACCTCGGCAGGAGGTGGTGGGCGAGAGCTGGCCGCGGCGGCCACCTCCTGCTCTTCAGATCTCTTCAGACTCTCAGAAGCAGGGAGCTTCTCAAAACGGCCTGTGAGCTGCGCTCGTGGCTGCGTTCGAAGGAGGCGTGCCGGGCCCTGCAGAAAGGGCCCTGCTCTCTCGCCAACGGCGACAAACTGCACGGGACGACGTGAGACGCAAGCGATCCCTGGGGCCTCGTCTGGTCCCGGCTGCGGCTTCGATCCGTTCTGCGACCTGTGCTGGACAGGTTTCCCCCTTCCGACTATACGGAATCAGGGACGGCTGGCTTCAACAGCAGGGATACCAAACGCAATGGATGCTGAGACCAGCAGTCAACCCAACGCTATGCTCTCACCCCCTCCCGAATGCGCCTGCTGCAGAGCTCCCTCGGTCGTCTCGTCCGTCCCGCCGATCATCACGTCGGTCGTCCCTTCGGTCCTCCCTTCGATCGTCACGCCGGTCCCTTGAACGGCCCCGGCGCTCACGCTCACGAGTCTCACGCTCTTCCCTCCTGTCTCGCCGGTCATCGGATCGGCGTCTCTCCTGGCGCAGGAGCTCCGAATTGCCCGGCTGTGCGCCCAAAGAATCGCCGGGATGCTTCCTGCCTCCGGGGACCTTCTCCTCCGGCTCCGCGACCTTCTGGTCTCGGACTTCCGGCTTTCCCTGAACAGTCGCCCCACCAGGATCCAAAAAAACTGGTCAAGCATGTGCCGGCTGTCTGCTGGTCCAGATGAGTGTCTTCAATAGTCACCTATCGGTCCAAACCTAGTTCATGTATGTTCATGTGTTGCCTCTCCGTTTCAAAACGCACGCGTCGTCCGAGTCGTCCCGTATTCCCGTCGTCGTTTTGTCGCTCTCGTCCTCGTTCTGTCCGGCCTCGCGGCTGCCGCGCTCGCCGGCGCCGGTGTCACCGGCCGTGCGTGCGTCGAACATTGCGTCGCACGCGGTGGCCCCCGCGAGGTGTGCTTCGATGTTTTTTCAGTGCTTTCCGCTAGTTGGAGTCTCGTCTCCTCCATATGAGCCGGAGTGCGCCACCATTCAGAGTCCAGCGGCCTGCTCTGCAACCGCTCTGCCAGCTTGTCCGATCGGTTCACGTAGTCTGTCACCTCGCGTCACTGACACTTTGGATTGCGGTTTTCTTCGAGCTGCACAAATCCAGGGCTGCTGCCTTGGTCCTTGCAGCCAGGATTTCTCGCAGATCGTTGCCCTTGTACTGCTCCAAAGTAATAACCTACAAACACTCGAGAGCATGGCATGGCCAAAGGCTTGTGCGGCTCCTGCACCCTGCCTGCATCACCACTTGGCTCCCTTTCACATATTGCCGCTGTGCCTCCAGCAGATAAAAACAGAATCTTCTCTTTTGCGTGCATTTGCATGAGCCATCTATCAGCTTGTCCTTTGCTTTGTATCGTGAACGAGAAGGCTGAAGAGTCTCTCCCCAAGCGTGCCTCGGCCAGGTTCCCTTTGGCCTCCTGGCGCTCGCCGTCCTCGAACATGACATCGGCCTCCCGCAGCTTCTGCCGGTGTTCCTCAAGGGACCAGGGAGGGGGGGGAGGAAACTCTGGGGGCACACACCGCGGAGCTTCGCGGGGGACGCTCCGCCGGCCTCGGCGACTGAGACCGGTGCCGGGGCCGGCACCGCTGGCACCGCTGGCACCTCGGCCTTCGGCTTCGGCTTTCCCTTGCTCCTCGCCTCCTTCGCCTTCTCCTCCTTCTCCTTCTCCTTCTCCTCCTCTTTCTCTTTCTCCTTCGGCTCAGCTGCGCTCTCGTTGGCCAGCTTCTTCAGCCTTAAACACACACGTGCTTGGCGTGCTTGCCTTCCCTTGGGAGGCGCAGCCAGAAAAAGACGACGCCGGGGGGCTCATAAGCCTCGTCGATGTAGGCGTTCACCCTGTGCTTCAGCTGTTCGTCGTCCTTTGCCGGGTTCTTCTGCACAGGGGCCCTCACCCTTCCTGAAAAGAGGATGTCGGCGAAAGTCCTCGGTCTGCACCAGGTCGACAAGGATCTTAACGCCTCAGATGCACCCGGCGCTCAGGCATGCAAAACTCGGACACGCCCGACTCGTGCGCCTTTTGTAAAGCGATGCAGGGCCTGGTGCCAGGCAACGTCTCGCAAGTTGGATTCCGGTGTCTGAAATCACGGCTTGCTCATGCATCGAGCCTTTTTGTACTGCTTCTGTTCTTTCAGCTCCCTTCCCTGTGCCAGCAATGCCTTCCAAGCACTTGGAATCTGTACTACCCCCTCCCAGTCTGTCCCGGATGTGTTTCTTTCTCAACCAAGTCTGGGCGTTCGCTCCAGGTCTCATCAGCGGTGAAACCAGTCCATCAAATTCTCTTACAGCCCGGGTTTTGAAGCCCTACAGACAGTGGCAGAGACTTTGCTTCAGGCTGCAAGAGCTTGCAGAAACAAGCTCGGCTTGCAGGATTCCGAACCGGTCCCTTGCATTGCGTTGGCAAGGCTAGAGCGATTCATGGGATCAGATCCCATGGGCCCTCCATGAGGGCCTGAGCCACTCCCGTACGCACCAAGATTCACATCTGAAAGCCTAGTGTCCAGGCCTACATAGACCTACCTAAGCACATGCTGCAGCCCCAGGGGCTGGACGGGGAGTGGCACAAAACACGGGGGGTTCACTTGGAACTCTCTCTTAGACAAAGACGCCCTGCAGCCTCCACATCTCGAGATGCTTCTTGTTCCTACATGTTTCTAGCTCATGAGCAACCTGAAGGTGGCGCCACTAAAGAGACCCCCGCAATTTCAGGGGCTGTAGCACCAGCGGTCCGGAAGCACTGCGCAAGTGGACTTAAGTGGAGTTGCATATCATCGTAAAACCTGCAGGGCAAGTAACGCATCAGCGTCAGAGGGCCAAATGGAGTGCAGACCATCGTGGACAGACTTGTCGAGCCAAAGTCCACAGCCTGCGCCGAACTCGATGTGTTATGATGCACGGCACTTTCCGCCTTGAGGGGCAATTTCCCTCTTATTCCAAGCCTGCCGGTATTCGCACATCAAGGCTTGTACTTTGTCGCCGCTTCCTTGAACTGAGCCTGAGATGGGGAGATTAGAAGTGATATAGAGGGATTTCAAACAGGACAGCAGCAAAAAGGCCTCGAGCTGCCCAAGAATGTTCTTGAAGGACTTGCGATCGATCTTAGTGGTGTGGCATGGGGTGGCGTGGCATCAGCAATCCAGTCGAGTCCGGAAAGGACAGCAAAGACAAAGCACATGGTCCCATGGTGGGCTTGGAATCGAGCTGGAGTTTGTTTAAGGCCCGCACCTTGCAGATCTTGGAGTCTGTCTTTGCCGAGACGGTTGCTGCGCGGGGCTCATTCTTCAGCAGCGCCAGTTCCCCGAAGTAGTCACCTCATGAAGCGCAGACCCAGTCATGGCATGCTGCGTGCATCCACCAAAGCATGCCGAGGCCAGCCGCCGCGCTTGTAATGATGCACTTCCTCATGAAGCTCAGAAAACCAGTCAACATGGCCCCTTGGCTGTGACGGTGTCCTCCTGGCTGCCACCTTCCCGCGTCTTCGTGGCCACCAAGTCGCCCTCCTCGCAGGAACCGCGGAACTCGTCTCCGCGCGAGCGGAAGGCGCCTCTCAAAAAAAGGCGCCTCCACGAGGTAGAAGGTGTCTCCCGGATCGCCCTGCTTCAGGATCGTCTCCCCTTGCGCCAGGGTCCTGAACGCGACGGGAAGAGACCCTGACCCTGGAAAGAAGGCACTCGGTCGCCGAGGGACTGCTGCTGAAGGCAGTCGGCAAGCTGCATCAGATCATAGCTCTCCAGCGGCGTGAACAAGGGCACGGTCTTCAGGAAGTCCTCAAAGAAAAATCCATCTGCAAGAGCCGCCCATGGATGTAAGAGCAGATGCTTGGCGAGGAACCATGAAGTCATCGCGTCGCTTGGCAGACGCATCTCGAACGATGTGGCCTGGAGTGCACTGAGGGAACTCACTGAACCGAGGGGTCCCAGGGCTCTGAGGAAAGGTCTGAAGGTCTCGCGATCGAGCTGCCACACCTGAGCGTCTAAGCTTTCAAGAGGCCCAGTCCAGAGCCGAAAGGCTTCTCTTTCTCGCTACCGAGCGACCACAGCTTCTTCGGTGGCTTCCACCGACGCAGCCCGAGGACAGTTGTAGAGCCTGCACCAGAGGCAACATCCCGGGCCACCAAGACAGGCTCTCCGTTGCTCAAATCCTTAGCCGAGGAACAACGCCAGCTCACCAAAGACGTCGCCTTGACCGCACCTTGTCGAAGCGAGGCGCTGACATGCGCTGGCGGAACAGGCTGCGATGCTCAGAGCCCCGTCCGAGGGCTTGGCTTCTTCACGACCTGCGCAGTGAAAAGCCACGGCAGGCGCGAGTCCCCAACAGACTTAAGCCCTCAGTCTGCTGGGAGCTGTTGGCCTTGTCCGAGCCATCGATCTTCCTTGGCTCATTGCTCACTGCGCTCTCTTCGCTCTAAGACTCCATAGGCGCGAAGCTTCAGCCAAGGGGCTTGATGCAGTCGAAGGCCCCTGACTCGATCAGGAACATCACGTCTCCATCGTCTCCCTCCTGCCGAGACCAGACCATACGAGGAGAGCAAGCGATCATAAGCGAGTAGCTTCGCCTGAATGATGCGCTCACCCTTAGGGATCTTCTTTTCCAAGAAGGCACCGAGGATGACTTTCAGGTCATCCTGTCAAGATCCGGCCCCAAAACGGGTCGTCACTGCACTCCGGGCTCCCGCCTTGCTCAGCGCGTTGAAGAGGAAGCTCTTCGACAAAACGGCGTTGATACGCTCCTCCTGCGGTGCGGCGGTGCGGCGGTGCGGCTCTTTTTGCGGGTGTCTGGAAGGGGCGCTCAAGCCTCAGCCTAGGGCCTATAGTAGCACCTATACATACCAAGCACCCGGCCTGCTCAGTCGACTTCTCGTAAACCGGTGGCTCGAAGGCCTGCTTCTGGTTAAACGCGCCGTAGGCCTCTGCGGACACGGATCCTGCCAGTGACACGGATGGGTGGGTTCTACGCATGCAGTACCCCAGTTGGCGCTGGCTCGCCTCGCTGTCCCTTCTTCATGTACGCGGTCGGTGGCTTCCAATCATCCTCCACATCATCCTCGTCATCATCTCCGAAATCGTCCTCCCAGAGATCATAGATGTCAGAGATGCAAGCATGTGCACCAAGAACATGAAACGAACAAACAGCTATAGAGGCCACAGGCAGTTCTCGTTAGGGTGGACGGATTGGTGCACTGCGAATGACAGGCCACTCAGCCTCGCCTCCTCCTCCTCACTGTCATCTGGGTTCTTCTTTCCGCCCTCTTCTTTTTCCTCCTTCTCCTCCTCTTCCGCTCCTTCCTCTTTCCCGCCGGCACCTTCCTGCTTCTCTTGCTTTTGCTGAGTCTCCCCTGGGGAATCCGCCGGTGCCGCAGCAACAGCCTCTGTTTCTTCCTTCTTCGGCTGTGGCTTCTCTTCCTGAGCATCCAGAGAACTCGAGACTGACCTTCGCCTCTCATGTGCCGAAAACAGGCACCTTCTCCTCACCCTTGGCTTTCGCGTCGCCCACCTTGTCCGAGAGGGCTTTGATCTCGTCCTGGAAGCAGCATGCCAGGAAGAAACTATGCAGCCTGGCAATCGCAGGGGTTCCTGAAGTTCACGAATTTCGTTGCGCAGACGTTCTGCTTCGCCAACTCCGAGCGAGTACAGGGAGTCCTCGTCAGCAGCAGAAACCGTCACACGTACTCTCCACTGAAGCTTCCGAAGACTGTCTCATAGACAGACATGTCAAGCAAGAGCCATCGTGTGAAGAGGTCTGCAAGGAAGCTGTCGCACAGGTGCTGGCAGCCGTTGCCATGTTTAGGAAAGCTTAGGGAACAGGATTGCGTTTGTTCTCGTACTCAATGGACAAGGGAGATTGCAGTTGATGTTGCAGTTGCACCCAGCATGCAGCGAAAGTCGCACATCCCTCGGAAGTCGTGGCATGCCTTCGTTTGTGTAGCGCCACGCCCACAAGGAGCATGTGCGTCGTTTAGCATGTGCGTCGTTTGAGTACTGAGGAAGCTCGGAGTTCGCATAAAGCTCAAAAAAAACTCACTGCGCAGGGCGACGCTCGCCCTCGGAAAACCGGAGTTTCCAACGCTCCACCACACATGTCACGTCACGCCGCCACAACCGCCACCCGTCCTTGCCGGCCTTGGAGCGCTCCTCAGAGGCTTACTGTACTTGCAGAAGTGCTTTAGAGCGCTTTTCTCGGAGACTCTTCTCAAATGGGCTCTTTAAGCCGGAAGTGCAGCCAGGTTTCAGCAAGCCATCGAACCATGAAAGGCACCTGGGCTGCGGGGGACATTGAAACCTAAGACTTCGCGGGGCGGCTGTGGAGGGGAAGGCTTTTCTTCAACTGAGCTTCGGGATTCTCCGGGCGCTCCAGCAAGACCTCCGTCACGAGGCTTTCGAGGATCGGATTCACCTTGCCTCAGCTCGGAGAGTCTGACAGACGTGAACACCAAGCAGTCAGAGATGTCATAGGATGCTTTTTGCGACGCAAGACACAGCGACAAAAGAAGTAGACACATGGATGGTGCGATGTGGAGGCCTACTGGAAAAGTGCACCAAGCGGCTTTGAATGTACTCAGTGTGCTCTTGCGACATTTTTCGGAGACGGCAAAGGCCGGAAGATTCAACGAAGGCCAAAAGAGCGGGCACCAGCCTGCTCGTGTACTCGAGCCGAGACGCCCATGAAAGCATCGCACGCATCATGTTGGGAGGCAGCTGTGCTTTAGGGCCTTAGGGGCTTTTGCCTCAAGACAATGGCATCATGGCATCTCCATCCTATAAGCATGCCTCTGACCCCCCGATAAAGGAGACTCACGCGGCCAAGACTGCCTCGCCCTCTGCCACCTTGTCCTGCTTGCCTTTCCAAGATCCACGACTTCGTAGCCAAGGCGAGATTTGCCAAAGCTGGATGCTCCGTCCGGCCTTTCGGCTTCTGGGGCGAGTCCTTGGCTGAGGAAGCCGCCGCCGCAGAGGCGTCAGCGCCTCCAGGGTGCGGGGATGCGGGGCAGGGCTGCGCAGGGAGGGCAGCGCAGGGCAGCCCGAAACGAAGCGCGCCTTGGGGAGCGGTGGCCACACCCGCGCCGCCAGCACAGGGACAGCCCCAGGCGGACCTCTCTGAAAACGGAAACGCGGCAGCTGCTCCCTGCTGCGGCCTGGCTTGGGCGGCCACCCGGTGACGCCCCAGCCGGGCGCAACCGCGGCTGCGGGCGCGGGCCAGCCCCAGGCCGCAGCCTCGGGGAGAAAAGGACGTTTAGAGGAAGGGACTCTAGACCTCCTTACGGCAAAGATCGGCAAAGGCACCGGAGGTCTTTGCCAGCCGTAGGAGGGCGCTGGATGCCACAGTCCGGGCGGCAGCTCCTCAGAAGCTCCAGCTCCAGGGGGTCTCGAGTCCATCATGTCCATCACAGCACACAGCGGCACAGCCTGGCCTGCGATTTGGTATTGCCGGGGCCGGTGCTCTTGCCTTGCAAGTGGGCTGCTGCCCCTCGCAGAAAAAAAACCGAGTCGTGGACTGGCGCTGTGTCCAGCTCAGCCCACCTGGCTTGGCCTTCTCGGCCTCCTTCTTGGCCGCCCCGGCCGCGGCCTCCTCCTTGGCCTTCTCTTTCGCCTTCTCCTCGGCCTCTTTCGCCTGCTTGGCTCTGCAAGCCTGGAGCTGGCCCAACAAGGCCTGAGGCGCGCGGAGACGGGGGGACGGCGGCACGTGGACAAGCGCGGACAGATGCCAAGCGCCTTCTGCAGCTGCTCCTTGAGTTGCGGAAGCTCTGCCTCTGCACAATCGCTGGAAAAGTGCAGCTGCTTCGCCTCGGAACACGCAGCGACGCGGCAGAGTGCCAAGACACGTCTTGGCTGCGGCGAAGGCCCTGGCCTGCGGCTTCGGCGCCTTCGGGCCCACTCCCACTGCCGCCCGGCCCTCCCCAAGCAGCCAAAGGCTCTTGACCTGAGCAGAGGCGGAGCAGCAGTCGCCTAAGGCCTAACATGTTCGGCGCCGGTGCCTTGGCAGCTTTGGCGACGGACTGCAAGAAGCTCCGGTCGATGCTGCCCAGCACGACGCTGCCCATTCCCGTGCCTCGCAAAAGGCGCTTGAGGGAAGAAGTGAAGAGAAAAAGTCCGTCGATGTTGTCGGGGGCTCCCCACCGTCGCCAGGCGCCTGAAGCCTCTCGCTCTGGGACCTCGGTGTTTTGCTTTGCGCCATCCTTTGTCCGCGCGGTGCTCTGCAAGGCCTATTCGCAAGTTTGCTGATCTCAGCCGCGGGCCAGGAGCCGATCACGTCCCCCTCCTCGGCATCCTCTGGCGTCGAGTTGGCCTCTCACAGGGTCGTCTCTGTCCACTCCCGTCCTTTCCTTTTCAAGTCCTCGAGGCAGTCTTGTGCTTGCTTGTTCGAGGAGAAGCGCACATAGCCCTGGGAGCGGAGAACGAGAAATACGAGAAGCAGAAGCCTTCGACTTCTCGTTGCACTCGTTGCACTTGCCACGGCGCCTGCCCTGTCGGCTGGCCGTCTTCTGAGCGGAGCAAGTAGAGGTCCTGGCAGAGCTGGATGTTGGGCAGCACCAACTTCCGACCCAAGGTGACCTTCACATCTCCGAAGCCACTGAGCCACTCCATGATGTCATCCTGGCAGGGCACCGCTCCAAAGCAACAAGCGAAAAGGCAACACGCGTGGTAACCAAGTCTCGGATCAGACCTCCAGGCAGTCTGCGACGGGCAAGTTGCGCATGTAGAGCTGAGGCCGGCGGGCATTCGGAGACTTTCCGATGTCACAGTCAGGCTGAACATCCACGCATCTCAACGCCTCGCAGTCCGTGGCATTGGGCGGCAGCTCCAATGCGAGCTCATCCACAAACACCTGCAGCGGCCTCGGTGCCACAGCAAAGGAGTACAGCGAAGGAGCCGCGTCGCCCATACTACTGTCCCAGCTTTGCGGCTGGCCAAATGGCGACTGTCGCTTCTCGTGAGACGCACGTGCCACAGTAGTGGTCGAAACGATGCACTGCGACTGGAATCCTTAAATTAAATACCGCCCACTCGGCTGGCCTTGCATCGGCCACCCCTGCGAGGTCGAGGGAACGGTACAGGCGCAGCAAAGAGCAGGAAAGGTATTCGGGGTGCCTTGAAGCTCACAGGTAAGAGTGCACTCCTCCATGAGCTCGCCATCTCCAACCTCCGTGACAAGCGAAGGCCTTCAGACAAACCTTTTCGGAGATCAAGCCAATGGGCCTGCGTGTTGTTGAGCTGTTCGACAGCCTCGACAGGTCACTGTGGCAAAGCCGCTTTGCAGTCCCATGTTTTGGTGCACCTGCACCACGCTTTAGCGCAATGCTATGACTGTGAGGATTGAAGTTCACCCTTCGCAACTTGTATCTTCGCACACGACCGAGAAGTGATCTCTTCTTGTGAGTATGCATGGGAAACACTGCTCCAAGAAGGCCCTGGCCCTGGGCCCTATCTGCTCCAGACATGACATAAGAAGCTTCCGGGGGGGCCCCCTGCCTTGGCCATCTTGTCGGGCGTCTTCAGCTGCACCCGGGCGAAGCGGCCACGGGCCGGGTCCTGTTCTGCGCCATCTCCAATGTCTCTGCGCCGACATCCCCTTGAACAGCGGTGGGGACCGGGACCTCCACGAGCTGCAAGGCCGCCACACCACCGAAGACCGTGAAGATCAGCTTCACCTGCAGACATCAGCTCCGGAGCACCGAAGGGCACCGAAAATCACCGCTGCACGTTGCCTGCTGCTCAGTCCAGCTCCCGGCAATGCCGCGCACCACGATCTGAGCGTTTGGCACCGGACAGTCTATTCTGCATCTGCATGTACGTGAGGACAGACGGACACTGCAGGTCGGGATGTACAAACGAAACAGTGAGACACTCGATCAAATTGAACGTGTTTGGTACATAAATGTGGGCCAAGCCTTCCGACAGAAAGTGAACTTCGGACTTAGGCCCTGAACGCATGGCGAGAGTGGCGCCACAGCGGCAGCTGGAGCGGCTGGAGCGGCTGGAGCAGCTGGCGTAGGAGCGGCGGGAACGGCTGCTGTTGCGGTTGCGGCGGTGCCGCGGGCTGGCACTGCTGGCCGAACTGAGGGGCCGCTGGCCCGAATTCTCCCGCTTCCCGAAGCTGTTGGCGGTGAATAAACGGTCTGCGGTCGGCCCGCCGACGGACCCGCCGATGGGCCCGTGGACGGACCCGTGGGCCGCGGCGGTCGTGGCCGAGGACCTTGCGCGCCCGCAGGGCGCAAGCCTGGCCCTGGTGGAGGGCCTGCGGGCTGTGGGGGTGCTTTGGGAGCTTGCACCGCCTGCGCTTGCGACTGCACCTGGCTCGAAGCAGGCTCCGAGCAATCGCAAGTGAAAAGACACAAGAATCTTCTCTGCCTTCTTGATGGGATGGCTGGTCGCTTGGGTGAGGATGGCCTTCAACTTCTGCTTGAGGAGATCCTGCTTCAAGATTTTCCTGCGAACATGAGAAAGCTCCCACGGGTCCTTCGAGATGATCGTTCGGGCCACAATGTACAAGGCTTGCCTCGCGCAAAAGAGAAAGCCCAATGCCGCGCAGAGCTCGGCAACTCGGGGAGCGGACGTATAGGGTTTCCGGCCCAGGAGTTCGACCACCTCTGCCGAGGTCGAAGGCCAGCTGTCCTGCATTGACTGCCGCTCACAGGGGCCACACTCTCGATGCTCGTCGACAACGCGGTCCCCACCAATCAGGAGCTTGTCGCACTTGAGGTTCTCTTGCATCGCCCTCTAGCATGCATGCTAGACTAGTCAGTGGTCAGGACGGTCGTGCCTTCCGTCATGTCAAGCCGGGCCTCAATCTATTTGCCAGAGACATGACGGTGTCTCCTCTGAACGGTCCTCCACATCAAAGTGTCAATTCCTACCAACCAATGGCACGGCAACAACATCAACCACCATGCCGGGCAAGGGGAAGGACGTCAGCGGGTGCCTTGTGCCTTCTGCACCATCTTCTCCGACAGTGACCTGGGTTTCAACCCCCAGCTGATTTCAAGACCGTAGGTCTCTGAGAACGGATCGTCGTCTCTTCACAACAAAGTCTCGGGTTTCGGGCCACGTGCCCTTGATATCGATGAACTCACCGTCCTCTTCGGCCAATGTGTCCACCAAGGACACCGCCTCAGGGATCTCTGTCGCTGTCGCATGGTGCAGGTCTTGGGAGTTCCGAGCGCGTGACATGCTCATGGAGCGTGAAGGTGACATAGGCCTGCCCTCGTCATGAGATCCGAAGCATCCCGGCAAAAGCTGCGAAGGGTCCCTGCCTGTGCACTCAAGGTTTCCATCCTGCCAGAACTCCCAGCACAACACGAAGCAATGCAACCACCGCTCTTGACAAGTTGACGTGAACGGCCTTGAGAAGGCCGAAGTTCTGAATCTCCCCAAAGTCTTTCCTAGACGTGGCCGCTCCGTCATACTAGTAGCACTCCGAGGCTTTCCGAAGGCGACGGCGACGCGCTGCCCTTGGCGCCCCGGCAGCCACCCTCGGAGCGCCTCCTCGTCGTACTCCTAGGGACGGACGGACACAACAGTCAGTGTCTGGTCATGGTCTACTGTACCCCTAAACCCTTTAAGAGGACATGGAATGTCCCCCCCGAACGTTTCCTGCAGAGGCAGCTCGCTCAGAAAGACCTGCCGGTCCATGCTGCCTCAGAGCTCACGGCAGATAAGCGGAGGAGTGCAGCAGGTGCCGTTGGCTCGCGGCTGGCCGCATGGTTGCAGGTCAAGAGCTCGTCAACATAGAACTCGCCAGGGCGTCAGGCACAGCGTGCGTCATGCAAAGACCATCTGATCCGCCGTGCAACATATGCAAAGCCAGAAATCCTCCGAGAAAGAGTGCAGTCAACTGCAGGAGCCTGGTAAACCTGGTACTCGGAGGGCGCCGGGTCCTGGCAAGGCTCTGGGTTCTGCTATCGCACTGCGCCGCAAGGTCTGTGGCGCGAGCATCCTGCACCGGCACCCTGTGGCATCGTAGAGGTTGCTCCCCCTGCAGGCAGGTGACACTCCATACCCACTGGCCCACCATGCATCCCACAGTGAATCTCTCGCCGCGCAGCCTGTGCCCACATCATGCCGTCGAGCTCCCGAGCCCTGCATTCAAGCACGGGGCAATGTGTTTCAGGGCTAAACACGACTTGGGACCGGGCGCGTGGGCTGCCGAGGCCGCTTCCAGGAACTCCACGTCGAAGGTGCCCCTGAAATGCGTCGCACTTCAGCAACATGAGCACCCCCAAGAGCTAATGTTCTTGGGCTCCCCGCCCCCACCCCCTTAAGTACAGTATGCGTTGCCGTGGGTTGCTGGGGGGGGGATCCCCGACCCGAGGCCCCCAAGTTCATTATTTCACTGGGGTTCGGCTGGCTTCAGAAACAAAAAGGAAACTGGGTCAACAGAAGAAGGTCCACAGAAGCAAGTAAAGGTTCAAAAGGAGAGAGTGAGAGAGAGCGAGGGAGAGAACGCGAGAAAGAGAATGAGAGAAAAAAACAGAAGAAAGAGAACTAAGAGAATCCTAAACCCTAAAGCCGTAAAGCCTTATAACACCCTAAGCACTCTCAAAGTGCATGCTGCCAGCAAGTAGAACTGCACTGCAGCAAAGCTCACTGTCGCAGCTCTTCCTAGTCTTTGAGGCGTTCAACCTCTATAACACCTGGCCCAGATCCTCGGAGCCGTGCCCGTGAAGACTGGGGCGTCATCTTGATAAGGCCCGTTCTGAGCCACCCCTTAAACCCCAAACCCTAAACTTCTAAAACCCCGGGCTGAACCCCAAACTGTCCTAAACCCCCTCAACGGGTTGACGTCGACGTGGGACCCTACTTTATATCTTTCAAGCGAATTTAGGGGGCCTTAGGGCTCCTTAACAGGCTCCTTAACAGGCTCCTTCACGAGGATCTAGAAGGGAAAAGGGGAGGGCAAAATATGGGAAGGTATGGAAGGATAAGGGGTAAGGGGGTAGTAAGGAACAGTAAGGGGCTTTCAAAAGGAAAAGAATCAGTAAGCTCGGAAGACATCGAAGAGTACTTGACCACGAAGCCATCGATGCCACGATCGACAGCAACCGACTGGGGTCGCAGCGGTTCGGGCTCATGCAACTTTTGGATCGGGCCGAAGCTCACCAAGTACTCCTGAATATTCCGTTTGTCTCGGCTTGAAGCCACTCTTCACAACCCTCGCGAGCAAAATTCCCTGAAATCGTCTCAACCGTCTTAACCCCTCAATGCACCGAAGGACCAAAGTTGCCCTCAAAAAGTTGGGGCGTCAGTCCTCCACCTCTTGCAGGCCCCATCCTTCACCAGTGGGCGTGAAGCGCACACGCCGCCCGCCACCAGCGTGCCTAAACAGCACACGTTTCACTTTCAAGACTCAACGGACCTCTCCAGACTTTTGAAGACGATGGGTTTCCCAGCACTGCAGCATGGGAGTGCAAGCCGCGCCTGCCACGGCCGGAGGCTGATGCTGGTGCGGGCTCCTTGCGACGGAGGCCGGGTTCGTGAGGTCGAGCGCCGCACAGAGCGAGCACCCGCCTCCGAAGCTGCCGCGGCGGATGCAGCGGGCACTGCAGCGGGCACTGCAGCGGGCGCTGCAGCGGGCACGGCGGGCCGGGAAGCGCCGCCTGCTTTCACAAGGCGGCTTCATGGCGACTTAGGAAAAGCTGACCACCTGGGCGGTAGGCAGGCCGCGCTGGCCGAGCGGTTCCCCCACCTGTGCTGTTCTCGAGTCCACAGAAACGTGCAGATTTGCAACCAGGCCCCCTGCCACCGCCGCGTGCGGGAGGCACGACGGGTCGGGGGACTCCTGGCCGGGCGGTGCCAGCGCTGCCCGCGGCGCCCGGAGGTCGAACTGACAAACGACCGGGGGCCAACGGCGGACCTTTCAGCCCAACAACAGCAGGTAGTACATAGAAGCGGCATGTCGTTTGGACCTTTAGGAGGAACACGAACGGAGGGGCGAACCACCTGCGGCCGAGCGCCTCGACAGCAACGTCCAGCTTTGGATTGCTTTCTAGGGTGTCGGAGGATAGCTTGGACTGCGTCACAGGTTCCCCGTTCAATGGAGGCTTGAGTTTCCAGGGCCTGGAGCCTTTGTCCACATTCCGTTGTTCTGGCGAGCCTCTGGGCGAGCCGTGGATGGTCATGTCGAGCCGCTTTACTTCCCCCCATCGACGAGGTCATGCAGCCCCTCACGAACCGTCCGAAATCAGCATGCACCATCCCATGCGAATTGACCACTTCTGCTTTGTCGCCTTTCGGCAAGAAAACCTTTGCCTGGGACCTCGACCATTGCTTCTGACAGTGCTACTCCGCGACACCGACCCTCAAATGGCTGTCGGGTCACGGGGCGGATGCCGCACACACACACACACACTGCAGCGCTCTGGGCACAGTACACCAACACATCCGGCTCAGAAAGCAGTGGCGCAGAGAGTCCCTAAGACTGTTTGCAAATCGTTGCAGGCATCTTCGCCTGCGTGACGCCAGAATGCCACAAGGCGTCTTGCATCAGTCCATGATTGATAATTCCCATAATGGCTTACAAAAACAAATGCCATGAGATAGGCTTAAGGCCGGTCAATGTTTTGTCGGCAGAGCTTTTTGAGATCCTTCGGCGCTTCGGCAGCTCACCGCACCTGACTGATCTCACTATGAAAGCCATGCATGGCACCGCAGAAACGTGCTGCCAGGATGCAGCGCTGCAGGCCCCGACCTCAGAGGCCAGAGGCCAGAGGCCGAGGCTTTCGTCTTTCCTCTTCCCTCTTAGACTCTTCCGACTCTTCCCTCTTCCCGTGTGTCAACAGGACGTGTTTTTTTGTGCGCAGGGCCGCGGCGCAGGTGTCCGAAAGGCAGCGGACGGCACTCGTCCGGCAGGTGCCGCTGGCCACGTCCACGGCGCAGTGCACGAGCCTCGCAGCTCGCGGCTTCTCCGATCCCGAGCTGCGCAGGCTCTTAGGCCGCCCGACAAGCCACTCCGGTTCTCGAGCTTGCTGCCGCAGGCGCCTCGGACGAGGCACAACGGTGCAGCCTCACACATCCCGTGCCGAAGTCTGAGCTGAGATGCTGAGCTGACCGTTGAAGTCCTCGCAGGCCCCATCTGCAATGGCCAGCTTGTTCGAGCAGTCCGCGCGGTCCTCGAAAAGCGAAGCGCATGTTTTCACACGACGCTTGCACGCTTGCAGCAGGGCGAAAGTGGAACGCGCGTCGCAAAGAAAGGGTCCTGCAGGCTCCAAAGGTCGCCCAGATGATTTGGCCACAGGCCTTTTAAAGGATCCTGGGCAGGCATGTGGCGATGTGGCGTGCTGCGGACGTGGCTCACGCATGCGGCAGTGTCCCCTGCCTGGTCAAGGCAACAGAGGGCGTCGTACTGGCTGGCTTGGGTCGAGTCGTCTCCACAAGTCCAATTCTTTTTGGCTGCTTCCAGGGTGCAGCCTTTGGCACCCCAAGCGACCCAGGTCGATCCAAGTCCCAAATTGGCAACGAAGGATTCCGCTTCCGCTTGGGCACAGAGGTGGCTGCGGTAGGCCGTGCACGTCGCCTCTGCCTGGCTGAAGTTTTGGACGTTCATGTTGCCCGCCGTCCTTACGGAGACATCAGCCTTGGCAGGAATCAGAAGAAAGTCCCAGCTCCTTTCAAGCAGAGGGCCCGGGCCATATCCACGCAGCACAGGGAGTTGAACTTCTTGTCCTCCGAAGATTTCCGAGCATCGGAATACAACAAAACCTCGCTTTACTGCTCCCGTCCTTCTGGTATCCGCAGGCCCAATTCGGGCCCTCCGCATTGGCTTCCGTCCTCCTCCCGTTGTGGATGCAGCCGGCTTCGCTGAAGTTGCGCTCGTCCAGCCAGGCACGGAATCCATAAGCCCCGCCTCGGGATGCTAAATGATTTGGCGGGGACTGTGACAGCACGGGAAGATCGAGAGTCTTCTTTGATCCTTTTGCTGCGTGCCGAGTCACTGGCTTTCAGCATGTACTCCTTCCAATCCCTTTCGACTTCATCTTTGAAGCAAAGATGCCAGGAGTCGCCGTTCTTTTCCAAGGACTGGCAGGACTCCTGTGCTTGCTCGTACGTCCTCAGCGGAGCACGGGAAGAGCTGAGAATCGAAGCTAAGCCGAGCCGAGGCTCTGAGAATCCTCATCCTCCGTAGTGACCAAAACCATCCTGGCCTCAGAGGACACTCCAAGAGGCGCGAGCTCAAAAATCGCAAGGCAAGCGCGAAGTCAAATTCTAAGCACCCGGCCAACTCGCCGGCGGGTATGGCCTGTCGATTGAACCCCTTGGGTGAGTTTATGCCGGGAATCGTTTTGAGCTGTGTTGCAGTCAGAAAACACTCAGAGTTTATAAGAAAGCATACCATGAAACTTTACTGATATCCCAAAGACCTATCGGCAACACTCCCGAAAACAGTCCGGTCATCTCAACATACCGATAACTTCTTCTTAGTTGCAGCAAAAAACGCCAAAACACATGTCAGACAAAAACACACGTGCAAGCAACATTAACAAAATATCAAAAAGAAAACAACGAAGTCACCAACCACTACAGAGAAACCACGAAAATAAGACTCAACTGGCTCAATACTGTCGAAACTATTGCCAAAGCACCGGCAGCCACCACAAGAATTAATTTGCATGAAATGGAATGCTCACCTATTTGAAGGCATGTTTGTCGGGCGTTGCTGCTCGCCGGCAGTGACTCATCTTTGCTTAGATTACAGGAAAGAGACTCGGAGGTCTCGGGCTGCCTTGCCTCCTTCGGCTCTTCCTCGCCTTCATCTTTCACTTTCGGCATGCCCTCAGCCTCCTCTGCTTCCTGACCAGGCAGAGGACGACGTCGACGTGCACTTCTCTCTCCTTTTGTCCCCGAACCGCTCGGCGGGCCTCCGTGTCGCCTTCCAAGGCAGATCCTGCGGACGCCGCGGCGGTGCCTTCAAAGCGAAAGGAAGCGTAGCGGCGTAGAGCGGAGCGGCCAGCGACCCGGTGTGCGGAGACTCTGCGCCTGCATAGGCCCACGCCTGCATCGGGACGGGACCCTCTCTTCCACAGAGAAGCGTCACGGGCGCGGGCGCGGCATTCCCAGCTCCGCCTCTTGGAAGCAGAGAAGTGCGGCAACCAAGACCCTGTACCTGGGCATTCGTCAAGCGTACACGTCACCTGCAATGACCATCGCACTGAGCGCCCAGCATGGGGTGGTCTGCGTGACTTCACCCCGGACCCCACATCACTTCCAAGAATTTCGCCAACAAATCTTCTCAGCTCGAGCCATCCAGCCATCATGAAGGTTCGGGGCATTCCGACTCTGCTGCGATCTACCAAGCTACCTTTTCACACCCTCACATGACTGTCTGTGCAGTAACCTCCGGGCACGTCAGAAAACCCTCTCAGAAAAGTGCACAGACAGAGACAGAGGGAGAGAAGGAGCTTAGGCTTCGTTGGGGGGGCTCGCGCGTTTTTGCGCGTCACGGCTGGAGCGGCTCCGCGTGCGCCTGGACGGCTCGAAGGACCAGCTCCTGGAGCCCGAGCAGCAGGCAGGGAGCGCAAGGGGGCATCTTTTGTCATCTTCTCATCTACCCCTTTAAGCCTTTTGTTGTTCGGGCTTTCTATGGCCCTAGGCCCTAGGCCGCCTCGAGGCGATGTGCGAGGGACACCTCGGGAAATTGCCTTCAGCAGACCGGACCGGCGCCGAAAGATCTCCCACATATCTCTCCGACAGACGGGGTACTGCCGCGCTGCCTCGTGAAGTCTGATGCCACGAGCTCACGCACGGGCTTCACCAAGCGAGAGGTCGAACAAATGAAGCAACCTCGGCAAGGCATCCGTGACAGGTCGACACTGCACCGGCAACTGGGAGGAGGGCTCTCCCAGAGCCCTGCATCCGCGACTCGGGGACACTCCAACCTCCCGCACGCCGCCGCCGCACGCTCTGCGCTCTGCCCCGTCGCTTCTCTCTGGAACGTGCCCGCCATGGGCGCCCGCGCCCGCCTGATGGTGAGGCCCTGCTCGCGCGCCACCTCCAGCACCACCTGGCCAGGCCGGTCGAGAGGCGATCAAGGCGCAGATCCGAGCGGAGCCCCCGGCCGCGCCTTGCGCACGGTGCCCGCCAGCACTCGCTCCTCGGGAGCCGTCTGCCTGACAAACGGCAGCCCTGTGCGGCAGCCGTCCGAAAGGCCGAATGCCAGCTGCCGTCGAGTTGCAGGCTGCCGTCGGCCAGCGCAGCAAAGAAGTTGGTCTGCAAGCCTGCACCAAAGCGCGCGCGCGGGGCCGCCAGCGTGCTCCGGCGCGCTCCGGCTCTCCTCTCGGCCCACGGTGCCCCACGGCCCACGGCCCACGCCTTCCGTGATCTCGCCGCTGCCGTCGTACATGAGCACCTCCCAAGGAAGTGCAGCCGCTGGTTTTCCCCCGCGCGACGGCCCGCCGGAACTCGCCTCGTTCACGCCCTCTTCCCTCTGAAGCTCCTCCAAGCTCGCGCGATCCTCACGGAAACCGGACGAGAGGCAGACATCATCAAGCGACACAGCGAGGAGGAAAGGTTCGCGCTGTTCTGCGTGGGAATCGAGCGAAACAAAAGCGAGCGCCTGCACCCACTGCACATCCTTGATGGTGGGATTCCTGAACAGACACCCAGACCCAGAACCCCACTGCACTTCACGGCTCTGGGAGAGCGTGAACTCGCGGCCTCCTCTCCGCAGGATGCGCTGCGACTCTAACCATGGGTTCCTCGACATGGCACCGAACACCACAGTCCACGTCGCAGAAAGGCCCCAGGCCCTGGCCTAAGGGCGGAACGACATAAGGTAACGGTTGCACGAAGGTGAAGACCTCGAAAACAAAAGCACCGGAAAGCAGAACACGAGACTCTTGCCTTATAGGTGTACGTGACTCCTCTTCCACCGAGTGCTTGCAACTCGCAGGCCGACAGCATGCTATGCTCGGACACAGCCCAACAACTGCGTCAAATCGAAAGTCTGAATTGTTTCGCTCTCAGTCTGAGTTTAGGTTCCCCCCGGACTCACCTTTGATCTTAAGTTTGAAACCCCAGGTTCACTCCCCGCTCCTTTGTGCAAATTATTCAGGCGCTCAAGCCCCAACAAAAAAAAGTTGACCAGTGGCGCAAGCTGGCCGCTCAGCACAGAGAAAACAGAAAGTGCACCCTCGACCTCCCTAGCCTACAACCGAAGCTGAGGCAGGTACGTCAAAACCTCTTTGAGGCGTGTGATCTCCCACAGTGTCACACGTCAGAAGCATCGTGACCTCATCGTCTGCAGTGACCATGTGCAGCTGCAACAGCCTGTGCAACGCGCTTAGGCGGTCGCCTGGTATTCCATCAACGGCTGCTGGCTTTGGCTGTCCTGTGAGATGGGATCATGTAGCCAACTCACCAATTCAGCAAATGGACTCTGCAGACGTTCCGCGGATCTCCAGATATCTCAGGGCCGCCAGGCACTCGCGCACCAGCTCAGGCCGTAGGGCCTTGGCACTTTTCCAGCGGGGACGCCAACCCAAGCAAGTCTGCGCGCGCGCGTCTCCTGTGCTTCTTGCCTGCACGCCGCCCCCGAGGAATTTCAGCGCCTTCGCAGGAGCCTGCCGCAAATTGCAAAGCGCTGGCTGCCTCTCCTGCTTCTTCTTTCTTGTCTGGCCTCGGGCACCTCTGGCAGCTCGCTTGCGCGACGGAAGACCTACTAGAAACAGGATGGCTACTCATGCCAGAACGAGCAGTACATGTAGGCTCCAAGAACCGCCGATCTGGTGAGAAAGGATTGGCACAGAATCGGCTTTGCACATGGCTGGTTTTGGGCTGTCACCCGGCTGTCTGAGGCCGAAGGCGTCCGTGGCTGTGTCCAGCATCCGTTGGATATGCATCGAGAATTCGAAGATGGCATGTCTGCCAACAGTCCGAGCCTGCGGAGTCCATGCAAACTGCCGCGCATGCGTTTGCTCGTTACAAAAATCATCTAAGGAGCAGACTGTCGTGTATGCACCGTGATAATCATCTCAGGCAGCGATCGCATGCGTTCGACTTGGGCCCTGCAACATCGGACTCGGAAGCATGCGGATTGAGGCAGCGACGCAACAGCTGATGTTTTGTCCTCGGTGTGGCGGGCCCGTTACAACGCGAGTGGTGAAACTGCACCTATTGGCTCAACTTGTTTTGAGGATCTGGCAACCAGGGGTCGCAAGCATCGGCATTCCGGACTAGGACCTGAACCCGGGAGCAACCATCGACGCCAGTCTGCATTTTGCACGCTCAACACCACTTCTTGACTTGCCTCTTAGGCATGCAACCCAAGCCTGAACACGAAGCATTCGACGACACAAGCTCTCCGAGTGCTGGGGCAGATGCTGTGCCGATCGGATCGGCCGAAGCAGACATCCCCGCAGAGTTGCAACGATGTGGGCTTGGTGCTCAACGTTGCAAGGTGCGAATGTTCCAAGCTCGCGCTTTAAGGTTGCGGCTCCTTGCCGGTGCTGAAGCAGAAGTGGTCGGAATTTGTGCTGTGAATCAATCACGAAACATCCAATGGAAACACCAATGTTGACATGTGAACTGCGAGCGACGTGCAAATGACGTGTCCCCTCATGTTGCGGAAATCCCTGATATGACAACGATGCAAGCGCTGTTGCTGCTTCTTTGCTGTTGCGGGGTGGTGTCTTTGTTTGTTGCTGCTGCGGGGGTGTTTTTTGGTTGTTTGCTACCGGATGGGGTGTGTTTTTTTTGCTGTTGCTGCGGGGGGGTGTTTTCTTTTTGCTGTTGCTGCCAGAGGGGTGCTTTTTTTTGCTGTTGCTGCGGAGCGGGGGGGTGTTTTCGGGGGGGAGAAGGGGGGGGGGGGCGTGTTTTTTTTTGCTGTTGCTGCCAGGGGGTGTTTTCTTTTTGCCGTTGCTGCGGGCGGGGGTGTTTTTTTTCTGTTGCTGCGGGGGGTGATATTTTTTTTTTGCTGTTGCTGCGGGGTGGTGATTTTTTTGCTATTGCTGCGGGGACGCTGTAGTGCTGGCCTTGGATGCCTTGGTGCCAGGTTTCGGGGCTTTGGGTCTGTAGATCCTGCAAGGTTTAGCTCTGTATCCCCCAAGCCCCAGTTTGAAGCTCCTGACTATGCAGCATCCACAAACACAGACCTCACGTAGAATCAACTTTGTGGATGTTCGGCTTGCTCGTTCAGCATGCCGTGCGCCACAGTAAATTTTAACGGCCAGCCTCCGAATGGACAAGAAAGCTCAATGGAGCGTGCAGGAAAGCTTGCTGCGGCTCCTACAGAAAATGCGATGACGAAACGGCCAGGTCGCGAATTCCTTCAAACAGTCTCGCATCGATTTTTGCAGCTTTCTCGCCGTCGATCATACCCCGATTCCTGAGGTCGATACCACGAAGGAAGGCTTTATGTCCAAGCGGGCGGTGTGGAAACTGTCAGCTTGAAGCCGAAATTCATGTAAAGTGCACCGCTGGTTCATAAATACGACCAGCTTGAAGCCGGGACGTAAAGCTGCGGCGCATTCATTTCCGAGCCGGCCACCACTTCAAATTTCAAATGCATTCGTTTCCAAGCAGGTGCTATTTCAAACGACCAGCTTGAAGCCGGATGGCATCCCGGCCAACTTGAAGCTGGGAAGTTACGTGGCGATGCCTACGCTGTTTCCAACGACCGTCTTGAAACACGGAATGCCAATTCGTTTCCTAGCAGGCCCCTCGCGAGGCTCTCTGCCGTACTTCGTCCACCAGGGAATCCAATTCGGAAGCGGGCAGACCGCCACTTGATGAGTCGCATCACCACCATCTGGTGCGATGATGACAAACTTTGGATCCTCATCCATTTGAGACTTGCGGCGGTCCACGGGACACAAGTGACGGGTATGCCTCCCTGTCTTGAGCCCTGAGTCAAGTGCAGTCCAGGCTAGAGGTCTGTTACGAAAGCCCGCGCAGGATGACCTTGATAGCAAGATGCCATAAGTTCATAGGATTCACAGGGTGGAGATCAGCAGCACGCTTTTCTACGCAGGGGCCAAAGCATGAGCTCCGAAATGGGTCGGGTGAGACTTTGACTTCGATGCTCGGTGTCGCGCAGCTCAGACCATCTTGCTCTGCAACTCCACATCACGCGGAGACGGATTTGTAGGGTGACTCAGGTCGTTGCGCACGTCCCGCAAGTCTCGGTCGGCCGAGTGTTTATCGAGGCCATCGAAGCGGATGTCCACGCAGCCACGCTGCATCTGCTGCACCTTCCGGACGGCCGCTGCAGCCGCCAAGACGCGGCAAGGCTGCAGCAAAAAGCGAAGGAAAAGGAGCCACAAATCTGCTTCTTCGGCTTCTTCTCGCATCACAGAGGCTCTCCTCAGGTGCATTACTGCCCAAGCCAGCACTGTTAGTGTGAGCAGGACAGCGTCGAAAAGGCACCACCAGTCACGCGAGAAGGACGATCCCCTGACGAACAAGTTGGATATCACCTCGGCGAAAAGCGCGAAGGTGACCAAAGACCAGCAGGCACTTTGCCACGTGCCACCCTCCAGGATGTCATGCCAACCCTTTGCGTTGCCTGCAGAGGGAGCAGGGAGGAAATGAACGGAGTGGGAACCCTTTGCTGAAACTTTAACTTTACAAGGCCCTGCTGACCATCGGACAGCGTGTCTACAGACGTGTTCCAGAAGCGGCCTGACTTCCAAAGATCGACGAGTGTGGAGAGGAAAGCAGCTGCCGCCAGCAGTGAGCAGAGGAGGCAATAGATAAAATAGGGCCGCTGAAGACGTAGCAGGAGGATCTTGTGTCTCAACTGCTCTGTCCAGGGCACCGTTACTACCGCTGCCTCCAAGTCACAAGGCTCCAGGGGGTAAGTCTGTGTCATAGCCTCGTTCTTCCAGGTGGAACCTTCATCCGAGCCCATGGGAAACGGTCCAAGGATGTGAGCCGATGCCTCCAATGCAGCATGCCTCCTAGCTATAGTCTGTAGTATTGCTGTATTGCTTCTTCGTCTTTATGAAGTCTTATCAGTGTCGCCCGTGCTGTCTTTCTCTCCAGGTGAACTCTCTAGCGACTTGAAGAGCCAGAAGATCATAACATGCCTCGAGCACGGTGAGTGTGTGCGTGTGTGTGTGTGTGTGTGTGCACAACCTATACGCCCCAGCTCTCAACAGCACTTGCTTCCGATTCGCCGGGTCGCCGCTGGTTCTCAGCTGTCTCATCGAATTACAAATTCGCGCACTGGCAACCAGAATCTACCATCCAACATCGCAGCTTCTACAACTTTAATGTCCGGCTCATCAACCTCTATCTAGGCATCGTCTATAGGGTTTACGAGCAGTTTCTCTACGCTGTGTCTCTTGTGTCGACTGGCTGCAAGAGAAAAGACTGTGGCTGCAGGGATGTCAGTGCAGGTTCGCTATCTCGGCTTTCGGCCCAGCCCTGGCCTCGGCAGTGAGAAAGGAGCCGCCCATCAGTCCACTCAGGATCTCTGGGCTCTGCTGGGCTCTGGGACTCAGTGCCAGACAGAGGTGGCGCCACCCCACGGGCACGAAGCACGGGAGAAGCCAAGCTGAAACCGAGTGCGGTTAGAGGGGCGGAGGCGGAAGCAAGGACCGACGCAAGAGAGAGAGGCAAGAGCAGCGCAGCCTCGGCTCCGAATCCTGGCGGATCGGCTCGGGATCGGCTGAGGACGTTCTGGACTTTCGCCTTTCCGCAGCCCTCGGCCTGGGACCGCAGCCGCGGGGAGGCGTCCTGTGCCCGTGCGGCCGGCGAGCCTTCCGAGACGCAGATCGCAGAGCGAGGCCACTGAGCCAGTCAGCCAGTCTCTCTGCGGCATGGCCGCATGGCCCTCTTTGCCCCACCTCCAAGGCCAAGGGGGCCCTGGCGGCTCATGGGCCGGAGGCGGCCCTGTGACGCACGGCAGGACGGCACGGCAGGACGGCACGGCAGGTCCCGCAGCGTGCCCCCTGTCTGTTGCGGGAGCCTTCTGCACGTGGGCCGCGACCTCTCTCTCTTGGGAAAGCTGCGTTCGCTCTCGCCCTTTTCCGGAGCTCTTTTCATCTTCAGGGCCCTGGCCCTCGAAGCGAAGGTCAGCGTCGAGTAGCTCTCGTTCGCATCCGCGACTTCGGGCGAGACCTGCGCCTTTTGCCACTTCAGAGTGCAGTGGCGAGCACACCGAGCCAGTCAGCGGTTGCAGGACACTGCAGGACACTGTAGGACTGTAGGGCTTCGGCGAAGAGGAAGGTCTTGCAGCCTGGCCCTCCCAAAGCATCCTGAAGAAGGTACCTCTCAGCGAAGTCTGCCTTCAGGATCTCAACATCCGTTCAAGAAAACTTGGTCCAAGACGTTAGCTTGGAGTTCCTGAAGGGGATATGCGCCTTGAAGCACGGGGACTCTGCCGGCACTGCGCCTCGAGAGCACCTCTGAGGGTCGCTCGTTTCCGCTGGAGTCACCCAAGGCAGACAGCACATCCGAGAGCGCGGAAAGCGAGCGGTTGATGCAGTTGGCCTGGGGCACAGCTGACCCGTGACCCATTGCTCTTTGGCTGCGGGATGCCACAGCCCATTGCAGGCCTCCTTCATCTGCATGCCCTCCGCTTGCGACACCTTCGTGCGCTCACTGCCAGCGAGGTCGACCTGCACATGGTCGAGTCTTTGCCACCGATGCACATATACTACAGACCGTCTACAATCTCAGACGGCGGCGATGTGCAGCACCCCACAACCACGGTGACCCTGGATGCGGAAGTGATGCCGAGAAGTGCTCTTTGTCGCATACGAGCCTCGTCATCACCGGCCCCTCCAGCCGCTCCTTTCAATTGCGAAGCTTCGCTTGTGAATGCCAGTGCTAGATAGAACCGATGCGTCAATTACGTCAATTTCTATCACCTCCCTCTCAAGGCCGCCGCGCACACACAGCGACAGCACGCAGTGTGAGCGCGAGGACCTGGCCACCCCACGATACCCCACGGCTGTACAAGAGTGAAGCTTCGTGCTGAGCACAGCCATGCAGCATGCCTTTCGTTCAGAGCTGTGCTGGCCACGTGGCGCTGGCGCCTTGCGAAGCGCAGAAGCAAGCGAGATTCTATGTGCGCTTAAGCGCAGTGCCGGCCAGACCAAGAGGCCCATGCCGAGCCCGGCACCCGATCCGCCCCAGCGCCTGCTCCACGTCGCTCGACCTCGAAAGGCACAGACGGCCGGCGGCCGGCCGGACGCGCCCGCCCTCTTTTCGCCAAATTGGAGGCTCCCGGCTCACGCACGGCCCGGGACGTCAAGCCGGGAACTCGCATG